GTTACCAACTATAAATCATTGCTTGCACGGAAGAACAACAGAAGAGATGGCGACGACAAAAACAACTGCTGATGGTACATATTTTTCATCTAATATACCTTTCAGTTTGTTCACTAGAGATTCTAAACAAGATTCCATCCATGATCTCAAGGACGAAAACAAAACATTTTTGTGGCATCAATTTATGCTTGATGTTCTCCTTGATGTTCCTCGCTCACCAAAAGATATCGAAAATGTGATTGTGGCTTGTCATCTGGTAAATGATTATGATCGCGAGGACCCAATTTCATTGAAGCCACATGATATCGACAGATTTCTAACGGAGTATAGATCCGAAATGGCTATGGAGTGGTATACGAAAGATTCATTTCTTTATCGTGCCTTCAACAAGGCTTGTCGGATGCTCAATAGTGATGTAATAGTTTTATTTCATCCGATTATTAAGGATCTTACTGCTCAATTGAGACAGTATCACAATCAACAAATGGCGAACAGAAAGCTTACACTGCCATTGACTGTTTATCGTGGACAAACGAAAATGGGCAAGGATGAGTTGAAGAAAATTCAAGAGAATACTGGTGGTCTTATGTCGATGCACACGTTTTTATCAACAACATTGTCATCTAATGTCGCTTGTAAGTTTGTTTCTGGTGGTGATCCAGATACGACCGTGATCTTTCAGATTACTGTTGAAGACACAGAACAAGGCAAGCGCATGAATACGTTTGCTAGTATCTCTGATGAAAGTGGATTTAAGGACGAAGAAGAAATTCTTTTCGGCGTGTCCTCCGTCTTTCGAATCCTTTCTGCTGAACAAGAAGTTTGTTTTTGGTCTATCGAATTAGAACTAACCACTTTCAAAGAAGTTGAACCTGTCCAAAGATTTATGAGCGAAGCTCAGACCTATCTGTACCAAAATTCTGGTAAAAGAGTACCGTTTTATGTTTTCAAACAATTGTTTACAATGGATTCTGTCGGTTATGCTCGGCCGTTCATAGAACTAACGCGTTTCATTCTTGTTGAAACAATTCAATCGTTTCTGACTCAGGCTTATCAGAAAGAAGGTTGCATGAAACAATTGATCGAAAATGTACCGGACCTACATGAATTGATCACAATGAGCAACACAGAGATTGTTCGTCCGAACAGCAGAACCATCTGTCTTCTATTCGATATGTTATATGATTTTCTCTGTTCAAAGAATAACAAGGATGAAGAAATAGTAATTTTTGATAACAATAATGCCGCATCTTTACTATGTTTCGGTGGATTTTTATTAATGACTGGTGACTTAATGAAGAGTTACCGATATTTTAAAATGTTGCTAGAAAATGAATCGGTTGATGACATAGTGAAACTCTTTATACATAGATTATTAGAATCATTTGATGCTGCCATAAAAGACAAAGAATTGATATGGAAACCTGATCAGATGGCAATAGAAGTACTTGAAAATTCTGTCGCACAATTTATCCCTGGTTGGCTTCCAAGTCTTATTGCTTCTACTCATGTGACTACAGATGATCCCAACAAGCAGGTAGATAATATAGTGTGTAAGTCCGAATCGTTGATCAATCAAGAACCGTTGGATAATACAGTTGATGAAAAACTACGTCTATTTTATTTGGGTCACACTTATTTTCAAAAAGATAGTTTTCTGGAAGCACTCAACTACTGGGAAGAAGCAGCAGAAATCGAATCTTATATGCCTGCTTCAGCCGAAAAGATCTATAATGGATCTATTTATGTTCAAATGGCTGTAGCATACTTCAGATTGAACAATCAGATCGATGCTTTAAAAATCATGGAAAAAGCCATTACAGATCTGGAATCTTACTATCCATCAACGCATCGAATATTTGCTACTTTGAACTTCTTGCACGGATATTACCTCATGTACAATGAAAAGCTTTCTGAAGCAATCAAATCTTTCAATAAAGCATTGGAAAATCCGCATTTTTCTAATAATGAAGATTTTTGCGCTCTAGTTAATTTTCTCTTAGCATCTGCTTCTATTCAATCTGGTAATCTGGACTCTGCAGAGTACTATTGCCGTCGAGCTGTCGCATACAAATCAACAAATATTGGAGCACAAGCTGTTCATATCTTAAGGGATATACCAGAACTAAAAATGCTGGCTCGATACAATGGTCCAGATTTCATCCGTGAAATGATTGGTGGTAGTCTACAATCTGTTCAACGATCAATTTCGCAGATGCATCCCCATTTGAGTACAAGTTCTAGATTAAACGATGAAGAAACATGGACTTGCGAAAAATTTATCACTACTGCTGATCATTATCGTCATCGACACGATAATGAACGTGCTGAATTATATTATAGCAAAGCACTCGACAAGATGACAGAAGCCGAATCGAAATCTATGTGGAATGTCTATAGAAAAATGGTCAGAATGAGTAATAGCAGTGATCAATATCAGGATTATTTTATCGAACAATTTTCTAAATATGATGATAATAATCCAAATCATTTTTCAATAATTGCTACACTACAAATGATCCTGTATAAATTCAATCTCTTCCAGAATGAATATACAGTGGCATTCGATTGCTTGATAAGTAGTGTATTAATGGCAGTAAAATCATTATTTTATCAGAATACAATCGATTCGAAGTGTATATCCAAACTACTTGATAACTTTTTTCATCATGATTTAATCGCTAAGGTTGCCAACTTTCTAACAAAACTAATGGAATTCTATTCAATCGATTTAATAGTGCATCTTCAACCGATTTTATCGAAATATGTGTTTATTGATGATCTAGCTTCGATCATACGCCATACAGCAGTGGATTGTTTCTTCGATCAAATGAAATCGAAATGTGACAACGATCCATTGGCGAAGATCATTTTTCAATTTCTACATACAATATTAAAATGTTTGCGCCAGAGTATCAGATCGACGGAGAACTCAACACTCCCATTCAAAGATCAAGTTTTGAAGTTTCTTAGAAATTACAAGGATGAACAATCACCGTGGTTCTATTTGATCAATGCTTTAGAATCGTTATTCATCGATGACAATGAGAATTTCTTCATCAATGTCGATCATTTTCGATTTCAAACAGCTACTTTCGAACGATACCAACAATTGAAACAAAAATTATCCATTATTTTTGCTAAACTTGATGAAACTAAGCTGGAGTCATACTTAATAAGTATCGACAAAATTCTGTGAACTTATATGTATTTCTTTTATTCATATGAACTAAGGAGTGTTTCAAACTAAATGAACCCTTCCGTATGTTATTGGCATATTTATTAATACAAAATTGTTCAGTTTTACTTTTTTATTTTATTTTTTTTGAAGAATTTGTCTTTTCATCCTCTACACGAATCTATATGTTGACTCATATCAAAACTTGTCTTGTGATGGTAATCTTATGAAAAGTGAATATCTATAAAAGTATTTTTTTAAGTACGAAAAAGGGGTTGGCTCAATCAAGATCTTTCATAATTAAAATGATTTCTGAGAGTTCAGTGTAGGGTAAGGATTATTTGAGACTAGGGTTTAGACGTGGGCCTTGTCCTTACTTAAATTGTTAAATCGGAAATAATTCTAAAATAAATGTGAAATATTGATCTTGACCATTATTCACATAATATGTTGTCAATAGAATATGGAAAGGAAATATCTGAAGAATAAGTATTAACTGGATTTTTCTAAGGACTTACAACGAAACAGAAGATGCGATGAGGAAGTGTAAGTTCGAATCTCTGAATAAATAGTAATGGAATGTATGAAGAGCTATAACCTGTCATATGTTGGGGTGAAATCGTAAGATGAACGCCTGATATTGAATCTTCCGTGCCATAAATATTTGTTCTACTGAAACAAACGAAAAGCAATAAAGTACAGACGTGTTTTTTTAATTTAAATATGATCTACAAACAATAACTAACCATCATATTGACTATTCTCGACTTTCTATTCATACTCACTGATCTTGAGAGTGTTACGGAAATTATCTATTCACCTTATCACGTTGAGAAACTCTATGTATATGGAAAAACTAATTTCTTTTGTCATTTTCAATTTCATTAACATATTATATATTAAAAACAAATCTGTTTAATACATTCATCCAGTGAAACATAACTTTTCTAATTAAATCAATATTTCGAAAACAAAAGCATACGATTTCTAGTTTTGATTCAGTTGCAGTTGGCATCGCAAATGAAAAATATAAAATCAAATATCCTATCGTAAAATAACTCAAATTTTCTGAATATATTCACAGTTCTATTCTCCTATATAAACTTTTGCATATAATATATAAATCTATATATGAAGATCGTAAACAGAGCAAAAGATCAAATATTTTCTTAGATATACCTGCGTTGCATTTGTAAGCAGGCTGAATCACAAAAAGTGTGAGTGTATATCTTCTTTTGATGCACACCCGCATCCTTTTCTTCTCTAATGACACTATGTTTGATTATACCAATATGGATTTTTTTTTATTCAATGTATTCTGATGAAGATGGCATAAAAAATTCTTCCAATTATAATGTTCATAGCATTTTCTACAGTATTACTCTGATTGAACAGAAAATGTATGAGAGATTATCAGACATAATTCTTCATCTTTCCATACCTATACCGTTCAATACATTCATTTATTATGATTCTATATTTTTATTGATGTTTTACGCATATTTTTTACACTATCAATTATAATTATTTAAATGTTTTAGAACTATAGTTTAAGAATATCTTAATATACAAGTGATTCTAAACCAGAAACCTCCAAAACTATTGAAAATTATGTATCGAATTCAGAGTTTATCTTCTTGTCGTGTATCAGACATTGTTAATTAACAATTTAAGATATGATGAATACGAAAAAGACTACAAATATTTTGTTATTACTGTTTAATCAGAAATTATTTTCATAGCTTTAAAATAAATTAACGTCTTAGATTAATATGTGTACTACGTTTTAAACAATGGTGTCGTTGACATAAAATACCATAATTCAAATTTGTCCCATACCACCATCGACGAAAAGTTCAATACCTGTTATGTAGCTACTATCATCCGAAGCAAGAAATACCACGGCTTTGGCTATTTCATCAGGCGTACCCAAACGATTCATTGTTGTAGCAGCTGCACATGCGTCGAGATATGCTTTCTGTTCTTCTTCTGTGTTTCCCGCATTTCTTAGTGCGAGTGTATCTATTGCTCCTGGACTTACAGCATTAACTCGAATATGACGTTCTTTTAGATCAACTCTCCAACATCGAGCAAAAGATCGAACGGCTGCTTTTGAAGCACTGTAGACACTTTCGTTTGGATATGCTTTAATAGATCCAACTGATGCATTCAATATAATTGATCCGCCATCGGTAAAAATTGGTAAAGCTTTTTGTACAGTGAATAAAATACCTTTTACATTAATATTAAATGTATCATCAAAATGTTTTTCAGTAACCAAATGAATTGGTGCAGTTTCAAAAATTGCAGCATTAGCAAAGAGTATATCTAAACGACCTTTTTCTTTTTGAATCAAGCTGTATAGTCTATCAAGATCAGCCATATTGGATACATTCCCTTGTACAGCAGTAACATTTTTGCTATTAATTTTTTTTTATGGCTTCATCAAGTGCTGTTTGACGTCGTCCAGTGATGAAAATATGTTCTGCTCCTTCAGCGACAAATCTTTGAGCAGTAGCCAAACCAATACCATCAGAACCACCTGTGATGAGAGCAATTTTTCCTTCAAGTTTACCCATTTGTTTTTCACTACTAGTTGTTGATTGCTTATGTTAAAAGACTGCAACCTATCACGCGTTTTAATACAAAAATGTCTCGCTTATGCTGACATTTTTCTTGTCTTCTATTACAAAAAAATATTTGCATTATGATCACCTTGATTCTTTTTCGTTCTTGATTTTCTTTCATTGAGGCCAAGAATGTTTGTCAACACCCGTTTTTTTCAAACACCACTCATCACTGGCAATTAACATGTGACTCACTCAAATTGAAATGAGCATTATTTTGTATATGACATAGAAGTGACACACCAAGTTTTAGTGTACAAAAATGTTTATTTTCTGTTGATAATGTCAGCAAAAAACTAGATCGGTTTCAAAGTATTGCAATCATTTTTGTGACCAAATACATGAAATTCATCGTTTTATATGGACGTATTATACTCATAGAACATGTTTTAGATCGTCTTTTGCTCTTAGTGAGCAAAAAGTAGTAGAGCCTTTTTCCAACGTCAAGAAACAGCTTTTGAAATATATGTTGAGTGGACAGCTAATTTTAGCGTCCAATGTTAATCTGCTTTTTATCATTCTTGTTTCATACAATGATTTGCTTCATAGTCCTTGTCATAGTATTCTGAAGCATCTTTTTATAGAAAATAACTATCTGCTTTTATCTTTGAATAATAAATATAGTGCATGGACCATTTAAAAAAATAATGTTCGACAAAGCTATTGATGAATCAATAGGCTGAATTCAATGATTCTGGCACCGAGTTCCATGAGTTTTTAATTGAAATCTACAGGAGGAATGTGTTTCTGGTCGAAAATTTCGGAAAGTAGCAGAAATATTATGATCGTGCCCAGCGGCTAACATTGCTCAGTTATGTTCGCTCCCTACTATTCTGCAGAGTTTTTCCAGCGAAACTGGTCGTACGTCATTCGCATAGGTAGCTATCTAAAATTTTGATCTATCAGATATGCATCAGAAATTCCATAGGATTTATTTTTGGATTAGAGAGTTTCAAATGATTTGATTCTTATAGACGTTGATTATTAAGTATTTCTCTAAAAGGTACATATATTCATGATTCATTTTGAGTTTTATTATCACTATTATCTTGTGTCACAACGATATGAAGATTGAAATGTGACAATTATAAATATATATTTCAGTTTCAATTTAGCGTATTAATGATTTCTGCTTAGTTTTTATTTTTAGCTTTAAAATTCAATCTTATTTTTTTTCTTAATAATGCACTTTTTTTCTCATATTGTTATTACAATGTCAACCTATTATCTTTTTCATTTTCATCACTGATTTTTTTCTGTGCGATTTTTGCTTTCATATCTTTAACGTTTTTTCATAGTATTACTTTTTTCTTGATCATTCCTGTTTATTTTTGCATGACTGTTCTTTTGCTTTATCGTTCTTGCAATGTAATATTTCCACTATCTTTATTAGGCTTTGGTATCTAAATAGTAGGGTACTTAAACAAATATGTAAATATGTAGATATGTCTTTAAGCAGATGGAAAAAAACTGGAAGCATTTTGGCGTGCAATTATGGTTCATGATTTTGAGTCAAAATATGTGAAGAGGTTATCTGTAGATATTGATCAAAAATTTGTAAGGTATAGTCTCCAAAATTGAGATAATTCATGAAGTGATCTTCCACAATTACTGATCATGAATCAAGATCGATATCTATAATGAGGTAAACTCTTCAATGTTTTTCATACATTTTTATTATTCTTTATAAGATTGACATCCATTCTCGAGCTATCATTAAAGTTTGATTTATCTAGAATCGAACTTCGAAATGTATGTATTAGTCCATATGCTAGTCTTAAAAGCATTTTTGTAGTCGAGAGCCTTTGAATGTATCCTTATGTCAAAGATCTGAGAAAATCAAGTTCATATTTGATGTTTGTTTTTCGTTTTTCAAAGAAATCATTAGTTTATAAATGAACAACAAAGAGGAAAACTTTCGTGCTACTCTTTTAAAATTGATTGATGAAAATTGATTGAAATCTGAATTCTCTATAAATTTTCTTACGAATATTTGTAGATTGAATCACGTATAATCATTCTCATTTACAAATAAGTCCAAAAAATACAATATTAAAAGATAGAATTCAAACATGCATACAAAAACATTCATCTATTTGGTTGTATGTTTCATTTTAATAGGATTACTTGGTACGACCATGGGTAGACCCAAGTAAGTTGTTGGTAAAAAGTTTAAATACAGTGATTATTCACAAAAAGCTATTTAAGAAAAATTTTATTACTTATGAGAGAACTTCGTGAGATGTTCTTTTTCGGTTTTAATGATTTTTGGTCTATAGATGCTACACTATTGACTTTTTAATATCTCTATTTTCTAGAGGCCCCAGGTTTTCGAAAAACTTGTTTTTTCGAACTCTGATGTGAAACTTTGAACATACAGAGTACTCAACTAGACTAGTTTCTATTACAAAAAAAACTCAGAAATGTTGAACAAAGTCTTGTCGAGATATGAAGCTTTCAAGGAAAATGTATATTGTACACACTATCCATGGAAAAGATTCTATACCTTCAAAGTCTCATATCTCGAAGAGACTTTGTTCAAAACTTCTAAATTTTTTTCTGAAAACTTGGAGTTTTAGAGGAGCTTCTAGGAAATAAACATAATGAATATTCGATAGCTCACTGAAATCTCATAGAAACTTAAATCGTCTTAGGATTTTTATTAGAATAGTATGCAGTATCTATAGACAAAAAAAAATCATTAAAATTGGAAGGAGACATCTGAGGAGATGCCCTCGTTCGTCAAGATCATTAGCTTGTTCTTTTTTAAAGTTTCCAGTTTACTTCAGCTCCCGATGGTTGCACTGGTGGCTGCAAATATACTTCTCCCAGTCATCAACGTGGTGATGAATGTTTTTGCTCTCCAAGATGGGCAGGACATGGAGTATGTGAAAAATCAAACAAGTAATTTTATCTTCTAATTCACATTTTTCTCGATTTATTGTTTGATTAAAAATTCTAAAAGAAAATAAAAATCTTTTAAATACTTTTTTGTATAATTAATTATTATTACTAATAATGAAAAAAATAATAATAAACTATAATTAAAAAGTACAGTTATAATCAGATATAATAAAACAAAGAAAACGTGTAAAATTCAAAATCGAGCATGTAATTCAAAAAATCTACGTATATATAATGTTCAGTATGTATTTCTCTATTCCAGGTCAATGATCAAAGGTTAAAGGTCGGATAAGGTTATAAGAGGTAAGGCTTTAAGGAAGAAAGGCAATAAGGGGATAAGGCAACAAGAGGATAAGGTTATAAGAAGGAGAAGAGTATAAGGGGGTAAGATTGTAAGAGGTAGTAGGCTATAAGGGAGGAACGCTATTAGGGGGTAAGACTATGTGGACGTAAGGAAATACCGAGGTAAGGATACAAATGGTAGGACTTTAAGCGAGAAAGTCAATAAGTAGACAAGGGTATTAAGGGGTAAGGCTATAAGACAGTAAGGCAATAAGGGGGTAAGGTTATAAGGAAGGAACTCTATAAGAGGGGAGCGCTCTACAGGGATTAGGCTACAAATGGTAAGGCTATAAGACCGTAAGGCTACATGTGGTGTTAGTAATATAAGAATATCATGCCGTAGGGATACTATGTACATAGTGTCGAGTGTCTCTGTCTGCTACCGAATGAAAGATTAGAGTTTTGAGGTCGTGTGTTAAAGAAAAAAATGCTACCGTGCAGTATACACGGGTTCTCACTAGTTTTACAATAATGATATAGGAAAAGACCGATACTTTTAAATTTTCTCGAAAAATATCCTAAGTTATATCAACTATCTTGTTTCATCATAATTAGTAATTACGTATTTAGTGATTTATCAAGACAAAAGTATAAGTTTACAACATCATCTTTAGTCTGAGAAGTTATTAATTTGGTCGAATACATTATGATGGATGACAGTATTTATTATCTGACATTTAATTATAGGATGAAAACTCGAGGAATTATTTTCAAACATCACTTCATGTATTTAAGATCTTTTCTTTAAGATTTCATACATTATTGAAATCCGATGATGATATATTTAAGCTGTCTTCAGTACAAAAAAAAATTATTGAAGAACTTGTTGTTATCGACAGCATTGTGAGCCAGATGAAATAATAATGCCTACTAAAAGTCTTATAGATACGTAATTCATCCGAAGATTTTAATTCAAAACTCGTTTTATATAGATGATCTCCATATTTTTGCTAAGATGATACAATATTTTCAAAGTCAAATATATGATAGAAGATTAATGTATCAAAGAGTTCTATTCAGAAAAGAAACTTTGTTAATAAAGTTTAAAATAGAAAAGAAAGGAAAGAATTAAAATATTGCAAAAATTCTTTGAAAAGCAATGATTTGATATGTTGCAAAGGGGACAAATGAATAACATCCGATGGAGTTTCTATTTTTACTAGATATTCCTACATTTGCACTCTCTATCAATAGTTACATCAAATTATCTATAACAAGAAAAGTAAAAAGTAGGAAAAGCATCAAAAATAGTTATAATTTATTATAGCCTTTTGATGTCAAATTCAGGTTGAAATTTTGATTTTTTCTCAGTCTTGATATTGTTTGCTCTTTTGTATTTTTTTTTGCTGCAATAAAAGATATTTACTATATATGATTGCTAGGGTCATAAAAAGACCAAGAGCCACTACAATTAATCCTATTTTACACAGCGACAGCGATTAAAAAATAGAAGTAATGACGCATTTTATGTATACGTGACACCTGTCTTATCTTGATTTTTTTTTATATTACTGTCGCGTATTACTTATATTTTTCTTATTTCAATATTTACTTATACATAGTAGTTATCATTTATAAATAGCGATTCAATTGATTGTTCTTATTCGGATAGTTATAAAAACAACGGAGATTGATTTACAGACTGAACGTTCCTAGATGCTAGTACTGCTTACTCACCATGATTCTTTGCCAAAGGAATCCATACA